TCACAGACATCGAATCAGTCCAAAACGTTACGGGATGCTTGGGGTAATCCAACTCTTTACACACTGTTGTGAATAACTGCGCAGCTAGTAAGGCGGCATTAAGTTCTAATCTCGGAATCGAAACCGTCTTTAGAGGTGCAACTCTGGATTTACCCATCACCAGGCTAACATCTATATCATTCATTAAGGTGGTTCTGATGTATACGGCTGCACCAAATCCAACCTCAGAGGCATCAGAAAAAACATGGAAGTCAATTATATCATGATTTCTCGACGGCTTAAGTGGACGTGAGACGGAATGTAGATTCAGCATTCTTAAACTGTTAACCCACCCCTTCCACTCTTCTCTCTGCCTCTCACTTAATGGTTCATCCCACTGTAACCCTTTCCTGCATGTCTCTTGAAATAACCTCCTAGCCGGAAGTAGATAAGGTGCTACTAATCCAAGTGGGTCAAACACGGACGACAACACAGAGAGCACACCTCTCCGAGTAACTGGCTTATCAATATCACCAACACTAAATCCAAAGGTATCAGAGTTCACATCCCATCGCATACCTAATGTGCGTTCAACTGGTAGAGTATCAACAGGCAAATCTCGTACGGTAGGTGCTCTATCTTCTGGATCTATATGCTTCAAAACGTCTAGGCTGTTCGAGACCCACTTAGTTAGACGAAAGCCGGCCTTAGCTAACACTTCAGTAATGCTTGTTGCAAATCTAACTGCAGACTTATCATCATCGAAGGAGGCTAAACAATCATCCACGTAGAAGCAACAATCTATGACGTCCAGCAAATCATTAGAACCAAATGTGGACACTGCCTTTCGTAGAGCAAAATTAGCACAAAATGGGGAGGATGTGGCACCAAATGGATGCACTGTCATCCTATATTCTGACACCTTACCACAAGGACCGTCATCAAACCACAAAAACCTCAAGTGATCTCTGTCACTCTCTGGCACCTTCACCTGAAGGAACATTTCCTCAATATCCGCCGCGACAGCAACTGTAAACTTTCTGAATCTCAATAGCAGTCCCACTAATGAGCTCACGCAATCTGGGCCACTATACAGATTATCATTTAAAGAGACTCCTTCGTGTTTCGCAGAACAATCAAACACCACACGGAGTTTACCTGGCTTCCTCGGGTTAAAGACGGGATGATGGGGCAAATACCACTTCCCTGGCTCACTTTGATCAACTAGTCTTTCAACGTAACCCTTCACTATATGTTTATCGACGACTTCCTTATATTTGGACCAGAGTTCTGCATCTGACAGGAATTTCTTCTGTAAACCCATTAGTCTCTTAAGAGCAACTTTCCTATTACAAATCAACTGTCTATCTTTGAATCTCCATGGTAGGCCAACGCTGAAACGCCCGTTTTCGTATTTACAAGAGTCCTCGGCTATTTTAACTGCTTTCAAGTCTTCTACAGAACGACCTTTCCCTGGGACACCGCAGTCACAAAACTCCTTGTCATACATATTTTTAATCATAGTTTCTAGTTTGTCCCCATCGTTTGTAACTAATGATGATATGTGGACTATGGGTATAGGTCCTCTCACTGTCCATCCCAGTGGTGTTTTTGTCGCAAACAGATCATCTCTACCTCCAAATCTCTCTTCTAATACCTTGTGGGCTTCTGGCACACTACATCCAATGAGTACTCTCACTCTTCCATCTTGCAATGTTGGAAGAGGTATGTCACACAGGTACGGCTTACCGACAACCGTTTCACGACTAGGTACTATAGCTTCGCCAAGTTTCATACTGGAGGTAGTGTAAGCAGTATCCACTTCCACGGTCTCCCCTGTAGCCAAGGATTCTAACTGAAATGACACTCGCTCACATACTACTGTTTTCGCAGAATTGAAAGTATTTACAACCAAGGGTTGCTTTGGGCCTTTAATACCCAAGCAACCAGCCAGTTCAGCATCTATCAATGTAACGTCTGAACCATTATCCAACAATGCATAAGTCTCTACTGAAGATTTCGGTCCTTTCACCTTAACTGGTAATACCCCTAAGAAAACTTGTGGGATGTCAAGGGGTCTAGAGATACTATTACAATTAACCGAACTCCCAGGTTCGTTCACTGTTCTCAGAAGTGGGTGCATATCCGTTAAACCACTACTTCCTTTATTTGTCGCCTTACAATTCCACTTTGTATGCCCAATCTTTAAACAACTGAAACACAGCCGCTTCTGCTTTGCCATTTTTAACCTTTCTACGGGTGACATAGCGATAAAGCGATTACAATCACTCAATTGATGCATGTTATGGCAGACAATACACTCATCCTTTCTCGTTGTGTCTTGAGACTTCACCACAAATGCCTTCCTTATATTCACTGGTTCCTTAGGTTCTACCTTAGAATGCAAAATGCTGGCGAATTTGCCCATCGCCTGGTTGACACTGTCCTTCACCAGTCTAAGAATATCATCGAACCTTGGCTCGATACCCTCCTCCTCTATACGAGAGCTTATTTTTACCCATTTCCTTTGCAGCCGCGTAGGTAGGCGTCTTGCAATTACCTCTAGGACTGAGCTGGAGTTGAGGTCACTCATGAAATTCATAGAAATCAAGGTATTCTTGTAAGTCATAAGATTGTCTAAAAACTCAGTGAGTGCCTTGGAGTCATCTTGAAGTTGACTGCCATTACCCTTGACAGCTTCGTATACGTTCCTTACAATCATCGAAGGCCTTCCAAACCTTTGACGTAATATGCTCATAGCCTCAGCGTATCCCTCATTAGGGGGCATGAGCTTACAGCACTGTATAGCTCTTGAAGCATCTCCAGTGCAATACCTCATCAAATACATCAATTTCAATTCATCACTTAATGAAAAACTACTCAGCATGATCTCAAACTCCTTAACAAACTGTAAATAATCGGCCGGGTTTCCATCAAAACACCGTGGTTCAAACTTAGGGAGTTTGATGTTCCTATTATCCCTGAACGGCGAAACAGTAACATCAACCATGTCATGCTTAACATCAGACACATCGTTACAATTAACAGACAAGTCACCATGACTTACTTTCCTGTTTGTATCCAAGACACTCTGTCCCTTCTTTGACCCAGGCATTGTTGAACTTGACCCAATTCCAAAAAGTTCCAGATATTGCTTGTTCAAAGAGGACTTGACCGGCACCAGGAAAAATGAACGGCGACTATCCAAACTTTCACCAACTGTTTGAATCCGCCAGATCTGTTTCTATCGTCAGAAACTGTCAACCAAGTCTCATAAACCGTTAATGCCCAGCTCTCGCTACGCTCGGGCCCACGCTGTTCTTAGAAGATTTCTGAGAAACGCTTAGTAATAACGGACGAAAAAACCAGAACACCAATTGTTGACTTGAGTATTATGTATTGTTACACCAGCATATAAATCAAGTATCACTAAGCAAACTAAGGTCTGTAAACAAATATTACAATAATAAATCTCTGTATTACTTCTGACGATGTTTCAATCTTCTTTCTGAACAGCGACCGATGAGACGATGACTGTCGTATTGATGCCTCCGCGAAAATCGAGGAAGTTGATTTTGAGCAAACAACCAAGAATTGATCGTTCAATCTTCAACTACATTGACATACGATAACCAACCAATATTGAGGTAAGTACACTTTTTACAAGGGATTGGAGGCTGTTTTAGAAAAGTTAAAGTGCTAAGGTGAAACATTAAAGTGTAATAGATTAAGGGAGTGAAATATATCATTAATAAACACATTTATGTAGAAAATAGAATGGGGACGTAATTAATCCTTAGGCCGACAACGTTCATTTGCAATGTATAATGATACCCATATATGTCTTACTATCATGATGTCCACTTTTGGTTTTAATACAATCATTCTCAAGCCAGTTGTTTTTATTTCATAACTTCTTGTCTATTTGGTTCACAACCGTACCCTACAGAGAATAGGAATAGAATGAGTCTAATCGAATTCATATTTAGCTATGAGATTGTACCCGCATGCTGACTGGTACTTGTATCAGCACCTAATTAGATATTCTAATTGGGACTTGTAATTTTCGATCCAGTCCTTAGATGCAATTCTTAACAACTTTGATCAAAATATTAACTCAATTCACGACGTCATTGCACCCGAGAAGATTCTTAACTTCAGATTCCCCCAAAGTGATTATATTCCGGCATCATTTAGAAGAAGTCTACGTAAGCACTCAATAAAATACTACAGATATCATGACTTATCGTCATTAATTGCCATTACGTCCCTTCTCAGTAGAATTGAAGAGTTGAGAAATATAGGCCTCAGAAACAAAGAAATGCAGGCCATTCAGGCACCGCATAACTCAGGAGAAATGGCCAAACTTTTTAAAAGTAGGTTGACGAACTCCAAAACACCCTATCCGAAAATAATATACTTAGACGGCATTGCTTACGAAAATAATGAGGCGATATGTGAACTGTTTAGCAAGCACTTCGCCAGATTATATACCTTAGAGAACGATGAGGTCGTGGATTTCCCACGTAAAACAGACGAATGTTTAAGTGACATAATTTTCACCACACATGAGATCGATAAAGCTGTCGCAAATCTTAAGCTTAGTAACACTACTGGCCCAGACGGTATATCTTCCGTTCTGCTGAAAAAAGGTGGTAATGACATGAGTTTACTCTTACTCAAGTTATACTCAATTTCATTAAGCGATGGGACTTACCCTAACTGCTGGAAGAAGTCTTATATTGTACCTATCCATAAATACGGGCCTATAGCTGATATCAACAACTACCGCCCCATCAACATCACGTCTGTAGTTTCACGTGTAATGGAAAAGATAGTTAAGACTCAAATCATTCAGTACTTGCTGTCAAATGACCTACTATCCCCATCCCAATACGGTTTCTTAAGTAGAAGGTCGTGCATAAATTGCCACTTAGATTATTTTGACTACATTACACAAAGTATTGATAATGGGCGTTCGGTAACAACATTGTACAACATGCATACGTGACCTTGAAGTGCTCAGCCTCTCCATAAGGTCGTGTGTGCCTTTATCCATTGCCGCGGAGTAATGAGTGAAACCATGGATTGTCTTGAGCATGTTGGTATCATGGATAAAACACTCGACAGAAACGATGAGATATCAAAAAACAAGAAACAGCGGTCAGATAAAATTTCAAATCTTATGGACACTATCTACTGAAAGGATGGAGAATGCTGAATGAATCTTGTCCCAAATGTGAGACGATTCTTTTCAGCAGCCAAGCGGCCAGTATTACTGTGTTGCTTGTATGGAGGTTGACAGTGATACTGCTAGCGCTAAAAAGCAGCCGGTCGACAGCAATAAATCACCAGAAATGTTTCAAGATCTCCCATTTGAACTATCGTCTCCCGATAAAGATAACATTATTGTTTCTGCACTCTCGAAAGCCATTAAAAGAGCATCAAAGCAATGTACTGCAACTCCGGTAGGACTGTCCACGAACAACAGGATGTACAAACAAAACAGTATGATGATTGATCTACACGAAAAAATAAAGTGGTGTATGTCACAGCTAACAGAAGCTGCCTCACCTACGGAAATTCGTCAGTGGTCTGACGCACTTAAGTCTTTGTTGAGATTATGGGACGAAATGGCTAATAGCAGTTTGCTCAAACTTTGATTTATAAAAAGCTGCTTCCTAAGAAAATATAAATTTTTAAAATGAAAAAAAAAAGGAGGGAGGGTGGCGTTAGCTGATCAGTAGATATGGTGGTGGTCACTAAGGTGAATCGCCCCATTCTGCAGGAACAGCAATATACAAATTAAAGGCTCGAGATATTTCTGATTTTTATGAGGGCTTAGATCTTTATCTTGAAAAAGATAATAGTGAACGCCTTGACAGATAATGCTTCTACCTTTAAATATATACCATTCGCTCAGCCTATTATTGAGATGCGACCACGTGGGATCTGCACAGATTTATGGGGCATCTTATGAATTAACTTGCTATCCATTGTCAGATCTTTAAATACCACTTCACAATATCTTGTCTCACTTATTTTCTAATAACGTCTTTACTTGATTCTCATTATATTCCATTAAACCTAACATTTTATAGCTCATTATGAATTTGATTCGACTTATCCTATTCCTATTCTCTGGAGGGTACGGTTGTGTACCAAATAGAAAAAAAGACATGAAATAAAGACAACTGGCTTGAAAATAATTGTATTAAAGCCAAAAGTGAACGCATGATAGTATAAAATATATTGGTTTCATTATACATTGCAAATGAACGTTGTCGGCCTAAGGATTAATTACGTCCCCATTCTGTTTTCTATATAAATGTGTTTATTAATGATATATTTCACTCCCTTAATCTATTACACTTTAATGTTACACCACAGCACTTTAATTTTTCTAAAACGGCTTCCAATTCCTTGTAAACGTTGTACTTACCTCAATATTGGTTGATTATCGTATGCCTACAACCACGGGATGAAAACGAAACGAAGTCGATTTTCCCGCGAAACCTGGAGGACAATTGTACAATTCAATAACTATACAGCCTAGTTCAGACAATGTGTATTTATATGTATATCAAATATTTAACTGTTGAGACATTATTAACTTGTAGACAATTTAAGATTTGACATTATATCATCCTTGATCGTGCCTGTAAAAATGGCATGCATTTTCATGTAAATTTATGTTTATATGAAAATAAATTATTATTATTATTATTGTTTCTCGACGTTAGCAAGGCATTCGATAAAGTCCCACATATCAGACTTCTAACAAAACTCCAATCCTACGGAATAACCGGAAATCTTCACAAATGGATAAGTTCTTTTCTCACAGAAAGAGAGCAATTAGTCAAAATCAACCACCAGTTGTCTTCCTCAAAGCCGATAACCAGTGGTGTAATACAAGGTAGTGTTCTTGGCCCTATTCTGTTCCTCTTATTTATAATAATAATAATAATAATAGTGTATTCTCATTTTGTACATGAGAGACGCCAGTTTACAGGCATCATCAGTATGATAAATTACATATACGATTAGCAATCATAATTAATAATAATGTTTTAATAAAATACACATTTTTTCCTACTTGTGTAGGACACACGAAATATACAGGCATGGGTAAGCATTATTTAAATTTCATAAATTCGGTTTATGGTTAAGTTACATGGTTGCTGGCGGTTTTGTTTTAGGTCTGTGGGAGCAATATGATAACCAGTCATTCAATGGAGCACGTCATGAAATATAGGAACATTGTCTTCGCATTAACAAAAAAACCCAAGTATGTTTTGGATGGATTAAAAATACTTGGGAAAAAATAAAGCTTGAAGTTATTCCACAATATAACAAGTCATTCAATGGAGCACGTCATGAAATATAGGAACATTGTCTGCGCATTAACAAAAAAACCCAAGTATGTTTTGGATGGATTAAAAATACTTGGGAAAAAATAAAGCTTGAAGTAATTCCTCAATATAACTTGGGTGTGTGCAAATCCGAATCTTAATTTTGATTTGATTTATATTCAAATTGGGTAATAAGGAAGCTATTTTACAGATACGATCAGTTATGTTATAAGCTACAATCGTGACGTTGCATTACAAATAGATAATTTTACATTGGTATAAGAGTATATTCCACAAATGTAATCCAGGTTGCGTCGTGGAGAAAGCTAATACCTTATTATTACGGTTCGACCAACAAGTGAAATATGTTGACAGGTGTGCACGTCTGAAATTAGAGCCTCTGTGGTTAAGGAGAGTGAAGTGCAACTTATTTCTACTCTTCAAAGTCATTAGGAAACATTGCTACAGTAACTCATCCATAACGTGGGAAAATATTAAATCATATCAGCTGCGAAACCACGACTACCTTGTCAAGGTGGCTACCCACAGAAAATCCATTAGGGCAAACTTTTTCACCATAAAATATTGCACTCTTTGGAACCAACTACCACCTGTAATAAGATGTTGTGAAAACCCTGATGGGTTCAAGCGGAGCCTAGAAAGACACTTTAACATGTCCACCCTAGCTCGTCTAAAAGACCACAACTGTTGGTAGAACGGAAATCGAAGGCCAGTCCAGTCTTCAGTATAGTCGCATACGTATATCTCGACTCTAATACTCACGCAGCGAACGTTAACTAATTTACTGATTTCTATTCTCTATAATTTTCACTAAGTTGTGTTGGTAAAAGTAACCCTGGAAATGATCATAATAGCATCCACACCTTTTAACATTTTACATATGTATATACTAATATAATAATACTTAATAATCATGCATGTTCAATTCTTAAATTAGATGGTTATTAAAACACTTGAAATATTAATGCCTCAAATGTTTTCTTGCTTTACCACGCTTGTTTCCATTATAACACTCAATTATTGAGCCCAGTGTATTATTTGATATACGAATTATATTATTGATAATACTCATATCATATATGGTTTGAATTACTCTACGGCTCCCTGTAGACTAACCGCCATTCTTCAGTATACACACACTACAGTATTGTTAAAAAATGCCAAAATTTTGTTGGTTCTGTTAATATCTTTTTATAATATGTCTAGACACGTTACTTTCCAATGTCAGATGTTGACTATATATAAGTAAACTAAGACCCGCCAACCAACATAAATTCAGTCCATACTACCTACATTGAACCCTAACTATAGTGTTTCTCTGAATCTTGCTCCACTATTCACAATACCTATTCTTTTCACTCTTTAAGTTTTTAACTTCTTATAAAGTAATCTGTTCATTAGGATGCATGCAAACATATATAATATGTTCATAAAGATGTCTGTGGAGACCTATTGGAAGCACTCATTAAGAAAGCTAGGGAGATGGAATATGGGGTACGAACATGTCTGGTACCAAGCAATATATTTGCGGTAGCCATAATAATCATAGTCTCAGAGCCTAACATCAAAAAAGGAGGGAGGGTGGTGCTAGCTGATCAGTAGATATGGTGGTGGTCACTAAGGTGAATCGCCCCATTCTGCAGGAACAGCAATACGCAATTTGAAGGCTCGAGATATTTCTGATTTTTATGAGGGACTAGATCTTTATCTTGAAAAAGATAATAATGAACGCCTAGACAGATCATGATTCTGCCTTTAAACATATACCATTCGCTCAGCCTATTATTGAGATGCGACCGCGTGGGATCTGCACAGATTTATGGGGCATCTTATAAATTAACTTGCTATCCATTGTCGGATCTTTGAATACCATTTCACAATGTCATATCTCATTCATTTTCTAATAACGTCTTTACTTGATCCTCATTACATTCCATTAAACCTAACATTTTATAGCTCAATATGAATTCGATTAGACTCATTCTATTCCTGTTCTCTGTAGGGTACGGTTGTGAACCAAATAGACAAGAAGTTATGAAATAAAAACAACTGGCTTGAGAATGATTGTATTAAAACCAAAAGTGGACATCATGATAGTAAGACATATATGGGTATCATTATACATTGCAAATGAACGTTGTCGGCCTAAGGATTAATTACGTCCCCATTCTATTTTCTACATAAATGTGTTTATTAATGATATATTTCACTCCCTTAATCTATTACACTTTAATGTTTCACCTTAGCACTTTAACTTTTCTAAAACGGCTTCCAATCCCTTGTAAACGTTGTACTTATCTCAATATCGGTTGGTTATCGTATGCCTACAACCACGGGATGGAAACGAAACGAAGTCAGCTTTCCCGCGAAACCTGGAGGACAATTGTACAATTCAATAATTATACGGCCTGGTTCAGACAATGAGTGTATATATATATATAGTATCAAATTATTATTATTATAAAATATTTAACTGTTGAAACATTATTAACTTGTAGACAATTTATGATTTGACATTATAACATACTTGATCGTGCCTGTAAAAATGGCATGCATTTTCATGTAAATTTATGTTTATGTGAAAATAAAATTATTACTACTATATACAATGTTAGGTTTAATGGAATGTAATGAGGATCAAGTAAAGACGTTATTAGAAAATGAATGAGATATGACATTGTGAAATGGTATTCAAAGATCCGACAATGGATAGCAAGTTAATTTATAAGATGCCCCATAAATCTGTGCAGATCCCACGCGGTCGCATCTCAATAATAGGCTGAGCGAATGGTATATGTTTAAAGGCAGAATCATGATCTGTCTAGGCGTTCATTATTATCTTTTTCAAGATAAAGATCTAGTCCCTCATAAAAATCAGAAATATCTCGAGCCTTCAAATTGCGTATTGCTGTTCCTGCAGAATGGGGCGATTCACCTTAGTGACCACCACCATATCTACTGATCAGCTAGCACCACCCTCCCTCCTTTTTTGATGTTAGGCTCTGAGACTATGATTATTATGGCTACCGCAAATATATTGCTTGGTACCAGACATGTTCGTACCCCATATTCCATCTCCCTAGCTTTCTTAATGAGTGCTTCCAATAGGTCTCCACAGACATCTTTATGAACATATTATATATGTTTGCATGCATCCTAATGAACAGATTACTTTATAAGAAGTTAAAACCTTAAAGAGTAAAACGAATAGGTATTGTGAATAGTGGAGCAAGATTCAGAGAAACACTATAGTTAGGGTTCAATGTAGGTAGTATGAACTGAAGGTAAGGTCGGTTGGCTGGATTTAGTGTGCTCTATTATCATGACAGTCTTATA